ACCAGCTCTGCGATGTGGTGAACTCCACGTTCTGCCCAAACCTCTGCTGGTCGTTCGGTCCCGCTCCCGTGAAAACAGCTACGGAAGCATGCTCCAAAGTCCACAAAGTAGTTCGGGCATTCGTCATGTAAAACGAGATCGTTGTCTGTGGCGTGTGCAAATTGTCAATACCCAGGGGCGTCATATCTTCACCGCAGTCATCATGATGTTGTTCAACCACCTTGCGTCGGGGTTGTGCAACGTGTCCCGCGGCCTTTTGCGCCTTCTGTCGGATTGCGTTCTCAGTTGGGAATGCCAGCTGCTCGTGTTTGTCCTCTTTCTCCCCTCCCGATGGCTTGGGCTGATCAGCATACTGGCCTAACAGCGGTCTCCCGGACGTGTGTCCAGCATACCCCAGCCGTCCGCCATCAGAAGAAGAGGGAGCGACAAACACTTGTGCAGGTCCGACATTACCAACCAAGTCCTTCCAGTGCTGGCAAGTCTTGAGGTGATCTGTGTTGTCGTTGTCATTGCTAAACTCAGGTTGCCTGCTGATAGGTCTGGCTCCGGCACCCACCATGGATGCTGCCACTAGCAGGTACATGGCCAACTTGGCCATCACTCCACGCTCTCTTGCATGCTTCTGCTGCGCATGCATTCTCTTTTGATGCACATGTTGAGTGCCCTTCGGACATCGGCACTCGGCTTGTGAGGTCACCGGGAAGTTCGTGACCACCTTCACCATGGAGTTGCATGGGTCCATGCTCCCAAGGCTGTCATGATCTTCCAGCCTGCACCACAAATGTTCGGAAACGAACATCTGCTCGGCTGCCTCCCGCATAGGTTGCAGTGACCACACCTGGCTGTTGCTGTTTGCTTCCATGATCACCAAGCGTTGAGCGTCTGCTTGGCTTCTCATCAACCGGCAAAGATGTTCCGTCCGGTGGATGTCCAGCTTGTTGCCAGATCCAGCGTGTGGTCCTGCAAGCCGTATCCACATTACGTGTGGGGCAGTCTCATGCAGTTGACTCACCATGACCTCCGCCTGGTGCCGTGAGTGAAGGTCATGGAAGAAATGAATTGTCTTCATACCAAAACTTTGCAGCATCTGCTGCCTCATCCCATTCCGGTCACTGAAAACCCAAGCCACCTTGTCAGCAAGGAAATGCCTCATCTGGTGACCCAAGGTTTCAGTGAGAGCGCTCTTCTGAAGCGCTCCATTCTCCGGTCAGTTGGTCTTCGCCGGCTCCACGACGCGCCTGCAGCCCATCGCGAAGTCCAACTCCTTGCTGCTCTTAAGTCCACCGCGCTCCAGGCCAGGAGGCTCGCGCGGCTTGATCGGGAGAATGAAGTGACCACTGTCCGCCAACTCGAGGGCGAAAACCTTGGTGCCGGGCGAACCCTCCATCTGAACTCCACCTTCTCCGGGAAGTATGAGGGTGCCCGAGGCGCAGTCCAAAATGGCTCGATGCTTGCGCAGCGCCTTGTGCAAAGGCGGCAGATTACTTCCGCCGATCACCGGCGCCGTGTAGGAGCTGTCCAGCAAGCCCCCACTCGTTGCCTCCAATGCCATCTCGATCTTGGCAGACATGACAGACCTTTGGCTGTTCTGGCCAACTCCTTCCACATCGAGTGCACGGTTCAGCTTCTGGTTGTGGATCTGGCTGTTGACCTGGGAGGCCATCTGCAACATCGTACCTTCGCCAACGAGGTTGTCATGAGCTCCCGGATCAATAAGCAAACCAACCTCACCGTTGCGAATTCTGGTGCGCAAGTGGTAAGTCTGATGCGTGGCCTGCTTGCTCTGGCCACTCTCCCACCACGGAAACACTGAGCTCCGTCCATCATCACCGCTAGCACTTCCACCGCCGCGTCGATCCAGTCCAAGCAGCAGCTTCGTCAAGCCAACAGTGTTCTGCTGCCTGAGTTTCTCTTCTTCCTTCTCGGGCTCTCGCACCTGGACCGTGCTCAGATCTGGGGCTTGTCCAGGTGGAGGATGAAGAGGATCTCGGGCGCCTTCCACCAACGGGTAGATCTCTGGGTCCTGAAGACTGGTAGTGCTGTCGTCCTTCGCGAGGTCGAAGTGCTCTGCTTCATCCGCCGGTGTTGATGGGCGCTCCCATGACGCTGAGGTTGCCCCCAGAGACCATGTCGGTGCCGGGGGAGTTCCATCCCGTGCCTGTCGTACTCGTCGAGGTGTGCTGATCACTGAGCTCTGCTCTGGTCGCTTACGGCTAGCAGCATAGCTCACCTCGCTGCCGGCCTGGGACACACTCCTCAACTTGTCCAGCTCCAAGTTGACGAAACTGGTGCTCGAAACAGTGGATCTGGCCTGGGTGTGGAAAGCCACGCCCGGGAGCAACCCACCGCTGCTCCAGCTCCTGGGATCCATCGCGGTGAGAGCCAAGGCTGGCCGCTTCTCAGCGGCATGCATGTGTCCTTGTCCACCTCCATCAGGCATCGGACACTTCTTGATGAGGTGCTCGTCGGACCCGCATCTGTGGCACTTCATGATCATGCCATCCTTATTCTTCGGGTTCTTCCTGCGGACTTGCCCTTACCATGGCCAATCCTCCCACCACCGCCAGACTTGCCCTTGCCGCCGGCGAAAGCTCCTGGAGGAAGGAAACTAGCATAGCTTCGCTTGTTGCGGTACCTCCGAGATCCCTTCTGGGCGAATCGCCGCCACCTCTTTCGAGCGAAGACATAGGCCTGGTAAGCGTCCTCGACAGTCATGTTGGCCTCCGGGTCATCCAGGGGCGCCTCATCGTCCGTGCTGGTGTTGGTGCTGTTACCATCATCATCGTTCCAAGCCGCATAGCTGCCGCACGTCGGACAGCCATTCTGATCACCTCCAGCTGGTCCAGGGAAGTTGCCCATGTTGGGATCCATGTGGTAGTTCCCGGTTGTCCTGTAGCCGCTCCACGGATCACCGCCTCCTCCGGGTAGCCAAGGATCATTGGCTCCACCTGCGTCAGGAGGTCCATCAAACGTGGGGTATGCCAGGTAGTTGCCGGGGTCACCATTGGCTCCAGCTGCTCCCTGTTGATGTTGATATCGCCCTTCTCGCACATGGCCTGATCTCCTGACTCTCTCAATCAGGGCATTGAACTGGCCTTCGTCTTGTGGAAGAGCACCATGAAGGGGAGCAAGGAGCCGTTCCCATCCGTCTGGGCTGATCTGTAGCGCTTGGAGCAACAGCCATGACAGTCCACTGTGCCCCATGTTGAAGCCACCCTGCTGTGTTGCTCTGATGCGCAAGACCTCGTAGCGGACCAAGACACCGTCCACTGTCTCTCCAGGCATCCGCCTGAAACCCAGAAACTCGCTGATGGCCTTGGTACTGTTCTCGGCATCCACGAACCTCCGAGCAAGTACCGTGACCAGCAGCATGAGGCCCGTGAGGTGTTGACCAGTGAGTTGATCTACGTCTCCGTCTCGGAGCTGCTGTGGCGTGATCTCCCTCACGAGCTCCTTGGCCGAGCCCTGCACTTGCAATGCTGCCACCGGGCCCTGCCTCCTGGGGTCGATCTCCGTGGCGCTGCTCCACAGAACGAGGTCGCTCACCCAGCTCCTGAAGGAGTAGTGGTGATTGCGTTCCACGCTCCAGGCTGGTGGCACCTTGAGCGTAGCCGTACCCACGAACGGGGGACCGGCATCCCCCACGGGAGCAAAGCTCCTAGGTCCGTGAGGTCCGTGTCGTCCACCTTCACGCGGGCGAAACACATTCTGCATGCAGACCACCATACTGAGCACGAGGACACCATAGTGCAGCGGCCAGAACCATCGTAGCTTCTGCTGCCACCCATCTGGTTCTCCATGAAGCCGCCGTGTCCTGCTCCGTGTTCGCGATCTCGATCTCGACCGTGTGCATGGTCCTGCAGAACCGCTCGATGGCACCAGCAGATCCGCGGTGCGCTCCTCAGACTCCGAATTCTCGACGTTGCCCTCGTCGTCCACCTCGACCTGTTGGTCCTCCTCCGCAATCTCTCGGTTGGGCCTCCGGCGAACCCAGAAGCATGTCATGCCCGTCCAGGTGTAGGGCATGATCCTGCGCTCATCCAGCCGCCAGTTATCCACCACGATGTGTCGAGCTTCATGACGGGGAACAACATGAGTGGTCCTCTCATCTTCCAGCTCGTGCACCGCGATGCCTGGCGGGATTGGCCCACCCTCGCTCGGGAGGAAGAACTCCGTCCGCAGCCGCACATGGATGCGGCATGGTCTCACACCTTGTTGGCTGAATGAGACCTCCCAGTAGTCGGCCACGTCTTCGGCCGAAGGCATGGCCAAAGCTGTCGGGATGGTCTCGCCATCCAGCACTTTGGCGGGCTCCGGTTCGTGGGTGACGTTGGGCATCTGCACGTCGTGCAGTTCATCCTCCTTGGCCAGGTGGATGATCTCCGTCATCAGGCTCATCGCCAGCAGCAGCATCACCACATAGATGCAGCTGCAAAAGCACCATCTCATCATACCGCAGCGGCAGCAACAGCTTGCCCACTTGGCGATGCTGTTGCATCTGCTGCTGCAAGCAGGTCCTCCTGGAGCAACCTGCTCCGCTACCAACTCGAACTCACCCAAGCGAAGCGGCCTCCCCATCGCAGCACCGCCCTTTCTTCCGGCAGCGCCCATGGCTGGGCGAGTCATCTCTGGCAAGGTAGGCCCGAGGGGCCTGTACAGAAAAGTGTTCTTGGGCCTGCAGGCTCCGGGGAAATACCGCTAAACTGGGCGTACCATGAAATTCATAGGCTGACGTGGGTGTTTGCAAACATCAGGGGCCCCTTTTGCCCGTCTGCAAAAGCAAATCAGCCCATGAGCTTAAGTTGCTTGTTCGCGTCCCCGAAACCAGCCACAAGATGGACTTCAATTATTGTTTCGTTTCCCTCCCCAAACTTTTCCATTCGCAGCACGGCTCTTTGCGTGTCCGGCTTCAAGCCTCAAAAGCGCCTGCACTCGACACTGCCTTTTTAAGGTCCGTGCCGTTGCCATCTCCAAAGTGCCCCCTCCTCCTACCGAGGCGCCGAGAGCTTGTCAACCCCTCCAAGGATCTTGCACTTTCCTGGGCAGTTCAACGTCAAGCGGTCCAAGTCATGAAAAGTGTGTGCTTGTGTCTTTTGAGGGAAGCCGCTTTGGGGTTGTTTGAAAGGACAAGTACCCCTTTGAAGATCCGCAAGATAAGAGTCGAACCCTAGCGCCCTTTCGATTTTGGGAACCCCCTCGTTCGGCGGGTTGCAAAAACCTGACCCTCGACCCCTACTTGTGGGAACCTGACACTCCCAGTGTTGAGCAACCGCCATCTCTTCAGAACCTCCCTGCTTAGACCTTGATGACGACAGGGGAATAGTAGGACGGCCTCTTGCCGCTGGCTTGGTGTTGACGCCCCACACCAAAACAGACCAAGGGGCATCACTGCACTTTGAGTTTGTGCCACGAGTCCCCCTGGTTGTAATGCAACACCCGACAGTCATGAGTCAAAACAGTGCTAAGTGGGCAAGGGGTTGTGGGAACCATCACGTCTATTCTAGCCCCATGATTGTACCACTATCAAAGATACCCAAAAGTAGCAGGTTAAAGGGAACCGTTGCCAAGTTTCATACTCTCTACAAACGGTCAAGACAATGCTAACACAACTGCGAGTGCCGGCACCCTTCTCGCACCAGCGCCACAAACGGAAAGTTGGATTCTCTGAAACTCCCATCCACCGGAAAAACAATCAAGACAGCTTGGCGACCCGACCGTGCGCCGTGATTCTTCGAACGGTCCAAGCGGCCGTAGTGGTCGTTGCACGAGTCCCCGCACCTCGGGGAGCGTCCATGCTATGGAGCGCTGGAGCGCGGGACCGGATGCGAGAGATGCTGGTCAGATGGTTCAATCCTCTAAGCATCACATGGCAAAGAGAAAAAAATCAATTGTATCCGCGGCAAGGGCGGACGCCTCTAACCTGGCAAGTCCGGATTTCTTTTTTTGGGAAGCCGAGGGACACCATCCACTTTTAAGATCCCCTCCCATTTGGAGACAAACCTGGTCAACACAGAGAGAGAGAGAGAGAGACACCTTTTAGGGAGGTTGTTTGAAAAATCACCAACGGGGAACCACACTTTCTGGACTCCAAGTAGCTTCAAGTGGAAACCCCAAGCAAGCCTATCATTTTCAGGGCTGCCAAGCTGCAACAAGTCCTAGGGTATACCGATTCAGAGCCATAAGGGAACCATTGCAGCCTAAGAGTGGTTGGTGACTATTAGTGACTACTCGACCAATAAGGACCAGGGCCAAAACCTACTGCAAATGAACCCTGGAATTTGAAATGAATACCGACAAACACCTCAGGTGGATGGACTAAATTCCTGCCCCACGGAACCCTGGAATGAGGATGTTTTATGCAACTACTAACAAACCGCCGGCTTTTTCAGCCATGGCTTCCAAGTGCATGGCCCATCCACCCGTCGATATGGCTCACGCCCGAGGCGCATGGCATGGCCCATGGACAGCGTGGAGTGGCAGTCGCAGCCGTCGTCGTCCAGCATCAGGGACCGGATGCCGTTCTGGTCCCGGTACCTGGGACGCGCTCTCAAAGGAAACGGGTTGCCCACAAAAGACGTGGCGAAAGACGTGAGCACAGGAGTATACATGTATAGATGTATCATGAACCTATAGAAATATGTACATACATACATCTATCTATGTATAAGAATATGGGTACGACAGTGATTGCCACTGCCGCTCACCTGCTCCCTCCCAGCCAGCTTGGTTTGTTGTGAATCCGCTGCTCCAGCTGTGCATAAGCGGTCCCGATGAACAAGAGCGCAGCTGAAGCCCGGTCATAGATCAATACAAACCAAGCTGAACCAAATGAAGAGGATCCAATCAACCAGTCCATCCATTCTCAACCAAACCCAAGGACAAAGCTACAAAAAATCCAAGCTGCATGAAGGTGTCTTGCCCGTTCGCGGTCTTGGAGCCCCGCAGGATCCGGGGATCCCACCCGGCACCGTTCACGAAGTGGCTGGTGGTGCCGTGCCTGGAGAAAAGAAAAAAAGAAGCCATGGGCTCTAACACGATCGCGGGAACCTCAGAACTGAAGTGGGCCAAAAAGGTGGTCCTAAAATCAAGGAAAATGGAGAGACCTCTGGGGGACACGTTTTCGCTCTTCAGGCGCAAGAAAGCCTTTGCATAGTAAGCCTTGGCAATGGGCCATAGTTCAAGGGAGGATCTCAGGGCCGGAGATTGAAGAGCCGCCGGGCCTGAAGAAGCCGCTTCTAGGTTCAGGGCTTTGCGAGAGCGGGTCCTCAACTTAGGCCTACTAAGCCCTTCCAACAGCCCTGGACCGGTGAGGTAGCTCAGGTAAAGACCAGGTCCAGCGAAAGACAAGGCCACGCTGACGAGTGAAACCGCCCTCTTGGCTGGGTCTGTAAGTCCCAGTGGTGAAGCTTGAACTTCTGGTTGGGCCACGTGCGCAGCTTAGCTTTCAAGGTGCTTCGGTCGATCGCAGCTCCGAAGAATAACAAAGTCTGGGTTTTGTGACAGCAAAAAGAGAACACAGCAAAAACAGGGATGGCCCTTTAAAACAACCAACGAGCGCCGCACTTTTTTTGACCTGGAAGACACCTGCACTCAGATATGGATGGCTGGTTCAGGAAATTCCTGCACATGGCGGGCTTCTCCCTGAAGTGGGCCCAGGTGTGGGAGACTGCGCTGACCCAAGCATTGTGCTGCTCAAACTGAGTTGGCAGCCCTCCAAATATGTGTGTTTCGTAATCTGCTTGTCTTCAGAACCCGTCCAAAGGATTTGAGCCACTCCGCTCAAGACTTGGGCCAGAGGAGTCCGCGTGAAGAATCAAATAGGCAGGAAGCCGCACCCATCTATGGCAACGGGACTGTCCCCGACTGATCTTCATCTTCCCAAGTTTGATTGTTGGTCATGGTTTCCTCCTCAAAGCCAACTTGAGTGTCACATTAAGAAAAAGATGTTGGGTATATGATAATATCAATGGGCCATCAATGTTCCGCCGGAGCGCTTCATGGCATTGAAGGCTGCGTGCGCCACGGGATTGTCGGGATCGAAGTGCCACTCCAGCTGGTTGTTCAAGTCATCCTCGGCCGCTCCCGAAACGACGACAGCGAACGGGGCATCTGATGCTCTTCGACTTTTGGGTTTGTCACAAGGTCGAAACGTCCACTCAAAGGTTTCGCCAGAGATGTCCTGAAAGGAACCACCCCCATGCCCGGCCCATTCGCCAGTTTTCCTCCACCTGGACAGGAAAGCCATGCCCACTGACCGGGCGGCGATGGCCAAGAGGAAGAGCCCGTTCTCCGTGAGTTTGCTCGGCAGGCGCTGGAAACACACCTCCAGTGGCTGGCTTCCCATCCGAACGGGCATTCCGTTGTGATCTGTTGTCCCACAAAAGAAAGTCGCTCGAAGAAAGCACCCCCCCCAAAAACACCCCCAGAACCCTCCAGAACCCCCCAGAACGCCCCAGAACCCCCCAGAAGCTCCCCCAGAACCCACCCCGGTGACCCTGCACCTCGTCCTCGTCCTCGCAGGTGCCGAACTCCTCCCCCAGAACGTCCGTCTTGCCTCAAGTCGACTCCCACTCGGCGACCCGTTGGCAAACCAGCACTTTTCGGTGAACCCCACCCCCAAGAGAAAAAAAACATAGTCCAAGAATTTCCATGAGTTACTCAACCACTGGACTTTTCTTGGGGGTGGACACCCCACTGTGAAGGCTTGCCCCAGTTCCAGCGCGCCCTCACATGCCTCAAACCAAGTCGGGACTGGTGAAAGCAAACCGACCTATGAAAGAAAGCCTTTCCTCGGAACCCCTAGGCTCCATTCCGCTCCCGCTCTCGTTTCCGAAGTTTCGAGGGGCCAACCGGCCAGGGCGTGCCCTTCTTGTACCACCAGAACTTCTCGTAGACTCGGCCCTGGATTTCCACCGTGCCGTAGGAGGCCTCGACTCGCATGAGAACATTCAAATATTCGAATTCACTTCACTGCGGGTGGAAACTGATGCATCAAAAGCCCGAGAAGAAAAAAAACGCGAGAAGCTTCATACCAACTGGAGCCATTGCAGGTCATGCGTCTCTGTACTTGGATGGTTTCCGACGTACAACACTGGAGTGGGGTAGCTGATTGAGTCAGTCAGGTTGAGACTTGTCAAGCCGACTTGACCTGATAACCGCCGCGGATCTAAGGGGCATGGAACAAAATGAGTGGACCCTCCCACTTTCCCGGAAAAAAATAGAAATAAATGGGGAGTCGGGATTTGGGGCATGTCGGCCCGGCATTCCAGAGCTATACCAGACGGCCAGAAACATGGTCAAGGCTCCCAGGTTGCTGGTCGGTGGTTTCCAGCGTTCCGAATTGCCTTCCTCTTTGGATCAATTGAGAACCCAACATTCAAATCCCAAGCCGCCAATGGGGAAGCCCTTTTCGTTTAGCAATCAAGAGAAGCAAAGGTCAATCCACCTTCCAGGGGGATGATGCTTGAGACAGACCTGAACCACGATCCGCCTGGCCCGCCGCCCGCCTTTTTGCACAAAGGGCCCATGTTGAGGCAGTACTGGCCGGACAAGCCGCACTGCAGGTAGGTGTCGCCTCCTGGCATGTGCCCAGTTCCTGGAAAGCTTCCGAGTTTGGAATGTGCATTTCATGGGATGCCGGATTCCAAGAGCCGAAAACAGCCAGTTTCCCGTGTGGCACGGGGGGTGGCTTTCAGGATCTGCCCGGTGCCAACGGACGGACGACCGTCTTTTGCCCCAAGCGCAAGACCAGATGCGCGTAAGAGGTTCCCTACATTGTCCTTTTGGGGGCGGGGTTCAAGCATCACATACCACACCTACTTGCGCAATAACATTATCAACTTCTCATGATGGTGATGTTCTCCTCACAGACACTTGAACCCCTGCGCATCTGCAGATCACCCTCCTGCCAAGGTGTAAAACTGGGAGCACGTCTTCACGTCTTGCTCGTCGCCTGCGCCACTCGAATCACAGTCCCGTGCATTCCGAGCCGCAAGAAATCCCGACCAACCAAAGCCAAGATGGCGCCCACATGCATTCTGGGCTAAGGAGCTACATTGTGTGTAACAGTGTTGTTTTGGCTCGCCCCCATCATGGTTGTTGCCCGGGCAGCAAGGAAAGAATGCCCTTGCCAAATTGGACCAAACATGTCCGCAATCCTGGATCAGTTCCCCAGGCACCGAAAATACCTGCTGAAGCCAACAAGCGGTAAGAAGCCCAACTGCCCCAAGTTGCACCAAGCCAGCCAGCTCACACCGGTCAAACAAAACAATAGGCGCCAAGGCGCAAAGCATCGTGTTGTCCTTGTCTCCCACCTCAGTCGAACCGCGTGTAAGGCTTTGGGATCCCCGAAAAACCTGCACTGGAGGTTCCAAGCAACCTCACCTTGGAACGGTGTGAAGCGTTGGGCCTTGGGACCACTTCAATGACAGTGAAGGCTGAAACACCGCAACCACCTCCTCGTGCTCTTCCCTCCCTTTGTCCGGCTCAAGTGGGCATGTGCACCTGCAGCCGTCAGACTTCCCAATGCCAACCTTCTTGTTCTGAAAACCAAGCAAATGTTCGCGAGCCAAAAAGAGGGCCACCTGAAAGGTCTTGCTGGGCGCCCGTCCCACCCGACGCGGCTCAGACACAACCAAGCGTCCATATCCCCATTGCAGAGGCTTTCATGGTCGGCAGCTGCGCGCAAAATCCAGAAGCTGCCGGTCGTCAGGATCCTGTTGGCACTGCCATCAAAAAGTGTCTCTCTCAACCCAAATTACGAGCAACTTTGGCGTAAACCCCCTTTCAAGGCGTCACTCAAAGAGAGCATGATGAGCGACCCCGCCTCCACGGAAAAGTCACTGGCCTCGGGAAAACTGCAACACAAGGGCTCTGAAACCTGGTCATGGCACATGCTCCACACTCGGCGAAACCGCGGTTCACCAAAGAGCGAGCGGCACCGGGTCAAGTGCTAAGCCGCCAGCATGGACGAAGCCAATGGCGAGGGATTCAGCGGCTCCGAAGGGCGTAGAGAAACATGAAGTATCGAAGTGTTGTATTTGAGACAACGAACGGCTGCGGCCGGCTCGATTCGCACAGATTCGCGCACAAATTTGCCCGCATGTCCCCCCCCCTGTCGGGAAGAACAGAATGAGCTTGTGATTGAGTTTGGTCAATCACGCATGCTGCTCATTGCAGAAGTGTGCACTCACGGGTTCAGAACATGTGAGAGTCAGTGATATCCGACATCAGTTTCATGCAAGACTTTCAGTCATGGATACTCTAGAAAAACGTTCAGTTGGCTCAAACAGCCACAACGATCGATTGTACAAGATGCTCACACACAGGCAGCCGATACACCACCCATCTACTACCGCGGCACTGACCCGCTCAAAACACCTCTCTCTCTCTCTCTTTCTCTCTGTTTCTCTCTCTCTCTTTCTCCCTCTCCCTTTCCCAAGAGCACCCAAAACACGAGGGAATAGCAGGACGACCACACAAGTTCAGCAGGGCAAGTCAAATGAGTTGTGCCTCTATTCATGGAAGGTACGGTTGATACCCTAAGTATTGTGGGCAAGCAAGGAAAACCCTGCAATCACCATGGCGCGCGGGTTGGCTTACTTATGGAATCCTCCGTAGCATTCCGAACGCTTCCCGTCAGACAGGTGAAGGAATGTCCTTCTGACAGGCCGATCCATAAGCCAAAAGACCAGGTGCCACGTGCCCAACGCCAAGACCCTCAGTCTGACTTGCGCACTGGAAATCTCACATCCTTCACAAGCCAACAGGAAACCTAAGCGGAGCATCTGGTCTGTCCCATAGTACAGCCAAGTAATCAATCAGAACTGTGGAAACTGCAAGCATGAGAGTAAAGGATTAATTGTCGCCCCACCACGAGCCGAACTGGCAAGCTCGCGAGCTCGCACTGGGGCGCTGACCACTCCAACGCCTCGCGAGCGCAGCCGACTTGGCATGTGAGCCACGGTCAAAGCTTGATGATCGCCAGGGCAGGGGAGAATTGGAGAGTGATCTTTGTGGGAAAAAGAGAGTCACCCACATCCCTCCCAATGGACCATAGACTGGAGGTGTCGACCGAACCTCATTCAGACGTCTCTGGCTGGGAGAGGTCCGGACAGCCGGAGGCCAGTGGCGCCGAAGAACCAAGAAGAAACCTGCATGCTAAATTAGAGCATGGTCTCCGGTCGCTGCCAGTCCAGAGTCACTCGCTGCGTGACCGGTTTGTTCGTGGGTCACCCAACCTCCCCCACCTCCCCACCTGCCCACCTCCCCACCTCCCCACCTCCCCACCTCCCCACCTCCCCACCTCCCAACCCAGGTTACAAATTAAACCCATAACGGTAAGAGTTCCAGCAAAAAGGCCCTTCACTTTCGAGGAAAACATTCATGTGCCAGGATTAAACCTCAGGGCCATGACATTTCGACACACCCAGAGCACCTCCTGCCCAAAGTCCACCGCACGCTGCCTCGGTGCTTTTCGCCGGCCGGCAGGTAAGCCCAAGAATGCGATCCAATCGCCTTCCTATCCGGTCGCTGAAAACCGAAAGTCATCCGGTCTATGACATAATCAAACAAAGGTTTGCCTTTGTGGATGGTGACTTCTCTTGACCATAACCAGCGCATTCCTGCCCTTGGCCATGGGAAACTAGATGAATATGTGTATATATATATATATGTTCCAGTCTTCCTTGGCCCCCACCCCCACCCCCCCCCCAATGGTCATGCTCAGTCAAGAAGGTAGCACAGTGTGGCCGTACAACCCCCCCCCCCCTGTGGGATGGGGGGGGGGACAGGGTCCATGGTTCCCACCCCCCGCCCCCCCTGCAGGAATCAGGGTCGGGGTCTATAGAAGGTAGCACAGTGTGATTGTACAAGCCCCCCCGCCCTTCTGTGGGATGGGTGTGGGGGGTCTATGGTTCCCACCCGCCCGCCTGTTAGAAGATAGCACAGTGTGACCGTACAAGCCCCCCCGCCCTCTCTGTAGGATCCCACCGTACAACCCCGCCCCTGTGAGGGATGCGTGAGGGGTCTATGGTCCCCACCCCCCCTCTCCCCCTTGCGTGGGAATGGGTTGGGTAAAACGCAGGTAGGTAGCACAGTGGGACAGTACACGGGGTGCATGGTTCCCCCCCCCCCGCGCCCCTGGATGGACCCATACCATTCGGAGGGGGGAGGGGGGGGGGCTGGGGACGACGGGCGACGGGAACATATATATATATATATGATATATGTGCACATGTCAATGTGAAATCACGACCCTTGAGTTTGTGTGTGTGTGTGTGTCGAACGCAAGCTGAGCAAGAGAACTCGAACCAATGTCTCCTAAACAAGTTGACACTCAGCCTGGAAAAAGCGTAGAAGCCTGTTCTTCCCTGCAAAATAGCAAGGTATCCCTAACATGGTTCCATTCCACAAAGCAGCGATTTTCTCAAGATGGATGCTCTTTGGCGGAACCTTCCACCCGATAGCATCGATGTTTCTGGAACCCCTAAAAAGCGGTAAGGTTCCTGCTGATCCGGTGTGAAGCAAGAGGACGTGCCCATTTTGAGACCAACCCAATTCCGGGAATGCTCCCCCGCGGCTTGGCAGCAATGAAGGGACCGCAGCCAGAATTGCCATCATCCGCTGCAAGGGGTCCTTATCCCAGAAACGAAAAGATGGGCAGCTGAAGGCAAACCAAAAGGAAACCAACGGGGTGATTGCCTGTTCCACGCAAACACTGCACTATTTAAGTTGGAAATCCCTGTAAGTCGCGGTGCAGCGGCAATGTGTCATCCTCCCAAGATAGGAAATGAGAAGGCGCCTGAGCAGGTGCACCCTTTTGGCAAACTGACACAAGTGTCCCATTCCTTACTAGGAATTTACCAAACCAACCCCCATTTCTCTGCAAAATATCGAGAACCCAAAGAAACATGCTTTCCTCTTCGTTGCCCTTTCAAGCAACGAAAGAGGCCGGCCAATCCCACCGAAAGACACCACCCTCATCCGAAAACCGACCGAAAGCCGCTGAGCGCGTCGGCTTCATCACGTTGGCCTGGCGCGCCAGCGTCTGAGCGGCCGCGGAGTAGCTCTCAGCCGCGGCCACCTGGGATTCGACTCGACGCGGCTGCTTACCTTTGGTCGCCTAAACCAAGCCCAAACACCTCAGAAAACAGAGACCCAACTGGGCCCGTTTCAATTTTTCGGTGTCTACTGAACATCTTATCGGCTTTGAATGTACTGTGTAAATGTAGGTATATGATGTATGTGCGCACACAATTTGTGAAGGGAGATGGGCTGACACCTAACCAGCATGCACATCCTGTGTGTTCACTGTCAGAATTGCACAAGCTCTTACATCTACAAGTTTGCTCTCTCACTTGATAGATTGTAGGCAATGTGCGAGGACACAAAATACCAGCTGGATCCTTGTATGAAATTGCCACCAAACACAGTTGGACAGCAAAATGGCACAGCAAGGCCTACCAAAAGTGGGTGGCGCAGCAGCAACAGCCACTCTATTTGAGATCCGTGCGAAAGATGCTCCACGCAAGGGATAGCTTCAGTGACTGATCTTGACCCATAGTGTCCCACCAGTGGTGGCCCGAAGAGAGTCTGATCCTCAAAGTGAGCCTGCTCAGAACATCCCAAATGTTCTCTTTCCTCACCCGGCCTTCCCCAAAAAAAACATCGCGGGGCGCCCGGCCCGCGACTCTGTCTCCAGCACTGGAGGCTCCACTGGCGGGCCTGGCCAAACCCGACCAGCCGATGGGCTGCTGGGCCGATGGCCGACGGCGGGTCGTTTCCTGAGCTCCTTTTTACCTCTTGGCCCAGGGATGCTGTTCTGGGCTTCTGGGCTTCATGTAAAAACCCGCAAGTACCCAAAAATTTGCGACGCTTTCCCAACCCGCCTCGAACAGCGGGTGCGGCCTGCGGAAGCGGAAGCCGGAGGAAGGTTGCGGGACGCGAAAATGGGAGCAGGTCTTGCATAACTGTCCTTGGGTTTGTCTGCTCTTGTTCAGGGCAAACCACAAGAAACCCCCTCTTGGTGAACGCATGGCCTTGAGCCCGGTGACTTATCATCTCAAAAACCCGCCAGCTGCCCCTCCACGGGGCAATGCCCAAGCACACGTCTCCTCTGCATGAGTGATACAGGCTGCAACAGGCCCTACGCGATGCACCAAGGACGCAGAGCCCACTGGACAGGTCTGTCTCATGGGGAACCGGGGGGTTCGATGGCCTTTCAGAAAAACCAAGGAGGATTCCCAACCATTCTCATACTTCCATTGCATCAGCCCACTCACTTCAAAAAAACCTACAAGGTGATGCTCCAAGGGGAAATCTAGGGAACCCTGAAGCACTTGGGGGGATATTCCCAAATCTTGAGCCGCGCCCAAGAGGTCTGTTAGAAGCACCTCTACCATGAAAGATACCTTCCCGAAGCCACGCGAGGTCTGATACAAGTACCTCTGCAATGAAAGACACCTTCCCAAAACCCAACACGCAAGGAATGGCCCTCCAGCCGCCAAAACGCATTGTGTTGCATCATCTGCAGTCGGCATACTCTTCGAGAAGTCATGTCCAACGCAAAGAGTCCTCTTGTGTCAGGGGGCTTCCAAGAATGCTCTTGGCGGTTCGAAACAAGTCCAAGCAGTTTGTTTCCCACGTGGGTCCGAACAGAGCTTCGAGTCCAGGACCCCAGAGGCATACAGCGCTGGGGGTCCTTGTCAATTCGCAGGGGATGCAGCGCTGAGCGTGCTTATCACTGAAATTGGGGGGCTGTTGGCTCACCGGGCAAGAACGCAGGTACTTGTCCCAGTCCAGGGGCCAAAACCTGCACCATTCGAAGGGGGGCCGGGCAAACTCGAAAGTAGACATGTACCTCTGACAAGTCCAAAAACGGGGCTTTCCGTTTGGTCTCCATTTGAAACAAACTGAAAAGCCAGCCTCTCTCTAGCGAGCTGGTAATGTGGATCGGTGGTTTAGGAGGTGGTTGCCCATTTACCCTCCTCAAGGGGTTCAAATCCCCAAACCACCAATCCAAGGGTCTGACCAAGCCCGGCCCAATTTCAACAAACTC